TACAATGGTTCTTTTTATTTTTTAAAGAAACAATTTATTGAATTTTTGTGAATTTCATACAATATATTTTGCTCATATTTTCCCCCCTCCCCTGATAATTTTCAGGCTTTATGGAGTTTTGCATGTCATTTTTCAGCAACCATTTCAGTTTTGGATTTGAACTGTAATTTACCATAATTTGCAACTAAATTGCCTATGTCACAAGATGGCTATCTGACAATTTCAGGATATTCTTCTTGTGGTTAAGCAGTTAAAAGTTGGCTACAAACACAGATTTACTGGCAGCTAGTTAAACATCCTTACAACAAAATTCAGTAAATTAGGGCAATTGCAAACGGAGGGCGGGGTTCATCATATAACAGTACTATATCTGGTTTCCTGTGTTGCCCATTGGTAGTTTTTATTAGTTATTGTTAAACACTAAGTAAAGAAGTATATGGTTATTACTATGTCCTAGAACACAGAGAGAGATATATAATCAAGAAAAGAGAAAATGGGCATACAAATCATATGCTGAACAGTATTAAATGCACAGATTATATAATTTCCCCCTAATTTTTGGCAGAAATGACAGTAACGTGGATTGGAAAAAAGACAACCAATTCAAAAATAGTGCTGGACAAACTGGATTAGATATGTATCTCTCACCCTGTACCAAAATACCAATTTTTAGTGGATCAAATACCTTAACTATAAACCTGAAACATTTAAACTGCTAAAGGAAACCAGAGAGAAAACACTTCAACGTATAGATATAGGCATAGTCAGGAACTTTCTGAAGATGACCTCGGTTGTACAGGAAATAGCACCAGTAACTGACAAATGGAATTGCACAAAATTAAAAAGCTTCTGCCTAGCAGAAGAAACTATAAGCAGAGTGAACAGTGTACAGAATGGGGGAATCTCTGCCACCTATACCTCAGAAGAAAGATTATTTATAATATATAAAGAACAGAAAAACTTAAACACCAAAGAAACAAAATTGCCAATCAACAAATGCCACTCAGTTCTCAAAAGAAGAATCATAAATGTACAATAAATACTTTAAAAGTTCTTTGACATCCTTAGCCACCAAAAAAATGTTAATTAAAACTACTTTGTGATAATTAATCAGCAAAGTGCTTGCTGTGCTAGTGTAAGCTGAGGTTCAAATTTGGGACCACCGGAGCTCAAATAAAAACCATGCATAGGGGAAAACCTCTGCAACCACAGCAGGACAGGACAGAGATAGGAGAGTCCCTTCTCGTAGCTCACTGGACAATCAAAGAGCTCTGACTTCAGAGGTAGACCCTGTCTCAAAAAGTATCATCGAGATCAATTGAGAAAGGCACCAGGCATCAACTTCTAGCATCCACACTCTTGTGCACACAGAAGCAGACACACATGGAAGGATAAACGCATGCACATGCATGCGCGGCACACACACACACACACACACACAGAGTCACAGTCACACCACGTACCAAAAAGGGAAGGAAACTCTTCAGAGGGACAACCATCAAGAAAACAAAGGACAACAAATTCATGGATATGAATAAATCCTTAATCACTATTAGTTATAGACACCATGGAAATCAGTGTAGACATTTCTCAAAAAGCTAGCAGTGTAACTACCCTATGACTGAATCATCTATACCACCACTGGGCACGTACCCGAAGGACCCTAGATCCTTCTGAGGAGATATTTCACTCACCCATGTTAATCACTGCTCCATTCACCATGGCTAGGAACTTAAATGAGGCTGAATGTCCATCAGCAGTTGAATGGATAATGAAAATGCGTTTCATATGTACTGTGGAATTTTCTGCAGTCACGAAAAATGACATTTCTAAGAAAATGGATATAACTGGAAAATATTAGGTGAGATAACCTAACCCAGGGTCAGAAAGATAAACGCCATGTATTTTCTCTCATATACGGATCTTAGCTTCTAATTTTAATACATGTGTGTTTAAGAGGAATCAAGTGGGGTGTCAGGAGATTATAAAGGCCCATGAGAGAGGAAAAGGCGGTTTTAAGGAATGGGGTCAGCAAGGGGAACATGTGTGACCTGGGAGCGGAAAGGGAAATCCCGAGAAGAGAAGAGCACACGTGTAGCCGGAGCAGGGAATGGGGAGGTTGGAGAAGGGGCACCCAGAGCGAACTACCGTGAAAATGTCATCAACCTACTACTTTGCATGCTAAAAAATAAATAAGGGGCTAGAGAGATGGCTCGGTAACTCAGAGCACTGACTGCTCTTGCAGAGGACCAGGGTTTGAGTCCCAACACCCACATGACAGCAAACAGCAGTTCATAACTTCAGTTCTAGGGAAATTGGATGCTCTCTCCTGACCTCTGTTGGCATTGCATGACACAGTGCACTTACATAGTATGCAGGCAAAACACTCATACACATAAAATAAAAATAACAAATAAAATAGTTGTTTTACATTAATGAATGAAAAAATAAATAAATAAAAACTATGGACCAATTTCCCCCGTGAACATAGATGCAAAACTGCTTGTAATCTGACTTCAATAACACATTTCAAAGATTGGGTACCATGATCAAGATTTTAATTCCTGAGATTTAAGGTGGCTTCAACAGACACAAACAAATATCATAAGGCACATTTATTCTATTTATGACCAAATCACATGATCCGTTCAAATGATGTAGAAAAGAACTTTAAAAATTCAATATGCCTTCATGATAAAACCCTGAAGAAGCTAAGATCCCAAGAACACAACACAACAAAGGCAACAAGCCTTATACTAAATGGGGAAAACGGAAAATATTTCCCCTAAATGAGGAATGAGACAAGGATGTTGTAATAAAATATGACATGAGAAAAGAGAGGAAGAAATGGCCTCAGCAGAACAAGCAGGCTTATTAGACCAAGAATAAACCTCCACAGCCTCTCTTACAGATCAGGCTGTTTATGATTTTCCTTCAGGGAGTGCCTTATGGTTGGGGTTGAGTCATATCAGAGAAGGCAATTGTGAACTGGGTAGATGTCTGCTCTTAGCACTTTTTTTGCAAAATGACATTTGAGATCATAAGCAGAGAGACAAGACAGGAGAAAAATAAAATACGATTCAAAATAGGAAAAGAAGTCAAACTATCCAATTACAGAGAATATGGACTCATACTTAAGAGACCTTAATGACTGCAACAGAAGACAGATCTGGCAATAGAAGAATGTAAAATCAAAACACAAAAACTGGTAGCTTTCTATCTGCCACAAACAAGCCCATTAAAAAAGAAATCAGGGGAGCAATTTCACTCAAAATAGCCTCAAAAACCAAATCAAACAAAAACAAAAACCCTGGAACAAACCTAACCAAATGTTTGAAATATCACTAGGGGAAAAACCATAATCATAAACACCAAGAAAAGCATTAAAGAAGACACTAGAAAATAGGAAGTATCTTATATGTTCAGAGTTCGGCCAAATTAATATTGGGGCAAAATGGCTGCGTTACCAAAAGCTGTCTACAGATTCAATGCTACCCCCATCAAATTCCTAATGGACTTCTTCTCAGAAATAGAAAAAAGTACCTAAAATTTATATGAGAACCCAAAAGATAAACACAGGGCAAACTGTTTACTGCCTTTAGCTATCACTTCAGGTAAAGGTAGAGAGGCTCTCTCACTATTATCAGGAAAACAGAAAGCAACAAAGGCTAGAGAGGTGGTGAAAGCAGGGAGTTGACACACAGGTGTGGGAATTGACACGCGGTTGGTGGGAACCCCAATTAGCACAGTAAAGTTGGAAATCACTTTGGAAAGTCTCCCAAAGAAACAAACAAACCAAAAAGAAGAGGAAGAAGAAGAGGAGCAGGAGGAGGAGGAGGAGGAGGGGGGGGGAGGGGGGGACAATCGTGTGTTTATCTATACAATAGCCCCCCAAAATAAAAGCCAGCTTACTGCTTAGATACCCACACACACTTCACAATGGTCATGGTATGGAACCAATCTAGGTGCCCATCAGCCTAAGAACAGACAGAGAAAACATGTTATTTATACACATTTAGTCTGCCATAAAACAAGAGTGAAGTTATGTTGTTCGCAGGAGAATGGTCAGAGCTGGAGCTCATCATGTGAAGAAAAATAATGCAGATTTAGACAAATAACATCTCCTGTCTCATATGTGAAATTTTGGGGAAAATGATAGGGACACATGAGAATAGAATTGGTAATATTGGGGAAGAAGAGAAACGGGGCAAAGGAGGAGTAGGTAAGGGATGGAGTCAAAACATAGCATATGCAGTTATGAAAACGTCACAAGAAAACCCATTGCTCTGTACAGTTAATATATGCTTATTTAAAAAAAAAAAAAGAGTGGGCAGGTGAGGCGGCTGATCCAGCACTTTGAAAGCTGAAGAACAAAGATCACAGTGAGTTCAAAGTCCGTGTAGTGAATTGCAGGCCAGCCTGGGCTATGGAAGTGAGATGCTGTCTCAAAACAGCAGTGAGAACAAAATTCAGACAGAATAAAGTAAATACATTGCCTTTATTCTTTGTGCGTAGCTGCTCCCAACTTCATATTTTCCCCCATTTAAATTCAGAGAAGACTGAAACCAGTCCCTTGGGTCCCTGTCCTAGTAGATGTGAATCCCAGTCCTCCCTGTTCCTCCCCAGGTTCTTCTCCTCCACACAGCTGGCAGGAGAGGAGGGGATGCAGCTCGGTGCTGTGAACTTGCCTGAAAGCTGTGGTGGGTCTCTCTCACATCTGGGTTATAGGGGTTTCCTAACAGGTTTCTGAATTTCTCTGAGGGAACTGGTCAGCGTATTGTTGAATTGTGTCTTCATAGTGTGAAGGGTCTTGTAGTTTCCTGTTCCGCAGCCTGACTGAAACACCAAACATAAACTTTTACAGTCATTTGTAAAGCACATATTATACAAGCAACCACCATTTTATCATTTGATTTTGATTATAACAGTAATTGACCCTTTTGGAAAGCTGTCTCCTTTGATGTGTTAAGCTTATTGAATCGAAGTTTCTTTACCTATAGAGCATTTTCCTTCTCGTGCTGGCTTACGTACGCTGGAAAGAAGTTGTGCCACGTGAGGAACTGCAGAGCCATGCCAGTCAAAAAATCATTCTTTTCTTTGATCAACTGGAATGAAACGTAAGTTTAATCTTTATTCCTCTGGAACCATTTAGATAATAAAAATCAGTCCTTATTCAAAGAGAATGTTTTTTGTTTTTTTAAATGATGTTGCCTGTTTACTTGGTCCTATGGTGTGATAAACACTCTAGGGCTGATAGATAATTGACTGTTGAGTCAACAGACTTAAAGTCCATTTAGAAACACAGACAACAGTCTAATCCATAATACTGAATTGGGAAACCAGGGCAATTAGAAAAGGATGGAGTTACAACTTATCACACACTGGAGATACCTTACCTCTGAATGGAAGTACTGCAAGACCATACAGAGCAAAGAAAAAAATCACCGATAATATGAAATCTCTATTCATAGAAGTCAGTTGTGTATTCATTTAAATAATCAAGGTTTTGACAATAACCACTGTCTGCATATTGTATAAAGATACTCCTAATGGGCACAAGCTTCTGTTTCCTCCTCTAGTGGCCATTTATTAAGCCCAAGAGGTCAAGTACATTTTTACACCATCCCTGTACCTCTTCCCAGAGCCCCTGCTCTATAACTGAGGCCAAACTCTCTCTTACTTAGACTTTCCTGCTCACAGGTTCTATCTATGGCATTGTCAAGATTCCAGAAGCTTCTCTGAGTCTCTCCTGATGCAGTACCACTGGCTCGCTGTCTGTTGTGTCCATATGGTTGCTAATGCTCCTCTGAGTTCAGTATTCTATATTTGACAAATGGAAGATAACTCCCACTCATCCTCTCTCAGCTCTTCTGAGGGTCGTCTGGCTTTCTTGGAAGATCATTTGATTCTTGAGAGCTAAGAGTCACAGTATGGCATTAGAGGACATGCGCTGACTCTAATGTTAGGTTCAACAGAGACTGTGTCCCAAAACATGGGGTACAATCTTTCAATCTTCTGTTCTCACATACCGGCCAGGGTACCTCTCACACCCAGCCCAAATTTCTGGTACTCTCTTTTATGGTCTCCAAATCCCCTTTTTAGTTTAAGATTCTTAATTCCTTTGACAAAAGATTTAATTTCCAATTACATTATCCTTTCTTATACAGAATCAGCTGTCTTTGTAAAATTTTTCAGTGCCTTTTCAAATTCAAATAAAACCCCAATCCAAATAACTTAGTGTAGTGTGCAGGGTCCCTATGGTTTGGCTTCTACCTATGTCTGTACCTTCATTTCTAGAATTAATCCCAGTCCCTGCCTCTGTACCTAGCCACTCTCTGAAGTCAATCTACTTATCCCTCAAAGCAGAAAGATCACACTTCTGCTAAAGGTACTCCTAGCCAAAAACTCAGTTCTTCACTCCATCTGCCTTGCTCAGGTAACTTCCACCGCCTCAAAGAATCCTTGCTGTATCATTAGATCTTCATTTCTTAGTCTGAACTCTGAACTTCTCACATGGTACCTTAACCAAATGTATTAGTTTATATTTCTGTCTTTATCTATAAATTTATATAGTTCTTCAGTTAAAAAAAAGTTAATTTTCCTTCAGCTAAAGCAGTAGAGAACAGAAGAAATTCCAGAAATGGTTAATGATAAACTAAGCATTTTTGTAACAAATGCTCTTTAAAACCATTATTAATGGACCTGGCTTGGTGGAACACACCTTTAATCCCAGCACTTGGAAGGCAGAAGCAAGCAAAGCAGATCTCCATAAGATTGAGGCCATCCTGGTCTACATAGTGAATTCCAGGCCAGCCAGCTGGGCCTATAGGTTAACAAGAAAATTCTTCTTCTGATTTAGCTAAAATTTATCCCTGGTTATTTACAAAACTCCAATTCATAGACAGCTCAAGAGAACAGTCTAATTCTAAAGTTAGTTTCATAGAAAAATGATGAGAAAATCTATAGTAGTTTTGGAAAACTGTGTTCATTTGTTTATTTTCTTATTTACTGTTCAGGCATTATTTTTTACAAGAAATTTTTGCATGCCTCCAGTAGAGTTAGGTATTTCATGCTAAAATTGTTTTTCCATTTTATTTTCATTAAATATCTTTCCATTCCATGTTGCTAGGTGCCTGTAACATTTTTACATATTTAATTGACACATATTCATTACACTGGAACTGAAAGTGCATTTTTGTGTTATACTATAATCTAAAGGACCAGACCTACTCTGGTTTGGGGAAAACTATTTCATATTGAAGAAAAACAGTTAGTGAGTATTCATTTTAAGTGCCAAACACACGGCTGAAATTTGAGGTAGGTGCATTCCTATTCCTTGATTAGGAAGAAGCAATCTGACTCTACTTGAAGCATCTTTTTTTTTGAAGGCTTATTCTTATTTATGTGTACGTATGTACATACATGTGAATGCAGATATCTACAGAGGCAAGAATAGGGTGTTGGATCCCCTGGTGCTGGAGTTACAGGTGATTATGCATTATGTGATGTGGGTGCTAGAAACCAAACTCTGGTCCTCTGGAAGAGCAGCAAGCACTCTTAACCACTGAGCCATCTCTCCAGCTCTTATTGAATTTGAAGTATCGTGTACAGTATTTGTCTTGTTTTTGTTTTAAATCTGAAATTTTCATTCTCTTGATTTTAATTAGTCATGCAGAAGTTTAAAAACAGAATAGATTTTTCAGTGAACATGAGATTATTGTGGCTTTAAAACTCTGTGAGGTGGCTGAAGAGATGGCTCAGTGCTTAAGGGCGCTGACTGCTCTTGCAGAAGACCCAGGTTCAGTTCCCAGAACCCACTTGGTGACTAGTAACCATCCATAACTCCAGTTCCAGGGAATCCGATGCCCTCTTCTGACTTCCGTGGACATTGTACCTGAGTACACTTACTTCCTGCAGGCAATACACTCCTACACATAAAATAATAAAAAATAATAAATAAAATATTTAAAACTCAAGTATTCAGAAGATGAAGCAATCGCTATTAGAACATATTTTTTTCTCTACTCAGCATCTATTGGTATCAAAGTAAAAGAACGGAGCTTGGTGGCAGTCACCAACTGTAATGTCTCCTTTTCTTGTCATTCTAAATGTGAAAATCTGGAGTTATACACATAAAACACAGTTTGAATGAGGAAAAAACGTTTCAGGTTATGTGAGAAATGAACTGAAATTGCAGCTTGCACCACAGTACAGAAAAGTGAAAACCTAATATAGGGTTGATTATAGGTTAAAGAACATTCAAGAAATTATCACACCCTCTACATATCATCAGCATTTTATGTCATTTTAGAGCTTCTTTTAAGCTGAGAAATACATCCACATTTTCTTGAATGAATACAGAAACTATGAGATAATATGAAAGAAAAGACTCCATTTTAGAGACCTAAATATGCATTGTGTCAATAAATCTGATTTTTTCCAACCTTTAAAAATCAATTTCCATCACTGTCATCTCTCCTTTATCCTGTTTCTCTTACTTTTATCTAGAATCTCATTTCTTTTTTCTATAAAGGCATATTTTATATAAATCCAAATCTTAAACATACAACTGTCCATTTGAATTGTTACAGTACTGACTGAATAAATCAATGCCCCCGGGAAATACAGCCTGCTGCCTATTGCGTTAAGTCTTGGTAGTTTTGTGATAAGAAAAATAAGGCTTAGGAAGGCTGGGTGTAACTCAGTCAATAGGGCCAATTTTTGAAGATGCATACATTCAAATCCCAAACTCAGACAAATCCTTTCCATTTTCAGATTATCCACTGACATCCCACAGTTATTAGCAATGACATCATTACCTGTGATGTTTATATTGCTTCTTGCTTAACTTCCTCTTCCCTGTTTCCTATCTATTAAAATGATCTGCTATTTCACAACCTAGAAATTAAAGCTCACCATCGACTCCTCACTCCTGTGCCGCCAGTCAAGTCTCACTTATCCATCTCACCTCTTCTGCCTTTGTTCCTGTGATTTGATGTATTGTCTGTCACGAGGAATCTGGACTTATTTATTTCTGGGAAAACCTTACTGAACAGAGAAGTGTGTACTGCCTCAAAGTCAGTCATGGTCACTGAACTGAAGTCACTTTACTGTATCCGAAGGCTGAGGGCTGCACGGTCATTATAAGAAGAGGGTCCCTAATGCTTCATTTGAAGCCTGAGTATGAATTGCTCCCAGCTCTGCTCTACATAGTGAGATGGGGTCTAGATCAGAAAGCCAACTCCTAGAGAGAGGAGATACTCGGTGCCTCCTGAGCTCTCAGTGCGTGAAACCTCAGTCAGCACCTTCCTACCAGACCGGCGTCTTCTAATAACCACCCAGTCACTGCTGAAACAATCGGACATTATAGCACATTTAGGAATTAGGAATCACAACAGCAGTGAGCTGTTTAGCCTCCTCAAGCCTAACGCCATCATGTCACCAAATCCAATCTGCAGGTTTGACTATCTAGTCTTCGCTTCCCATTTCTTGATAACTCAGTTCCAAGTCTTCTCTTCCCCTGCCTGCCACCCTGAGTTCCCATATTCCCACTCTTGGTTCCATCTCATCACCATGAAATTCTTCTAATCTCTAAAGTAGGGCTTTCCTATATCCCAGTAGGTAAAAGAAACTCCAGTAAAAGACACAGATCATCCCCACACAAACAAGATGACGTCCAAAAGGAAGCGTATCTGTTTTCTTGCTCAGGAAGGACCTTAGGTCGGCATCTGCTTTCTGCCAAAGCAGATGCTTTCTTTCCCATCTGCTGTCTGCCTCCTCAGCCACTTGTACCACCCACATGTACCCTCCCAATCGTATGTGTAATATATGTCACACCTCCCAAGTACTCCTTCTCACAAACCAATGGCTTCAATGCTCAAATTCAAGTTTTTCTCACTGTTAACAGTTTTATACTTAGCCATGTTTTGTTTGGGCTAGTATATGCAGTCCATCTGTCAGAACACAGGCACTCCAGGTAGGGTCTTTGTCTCACAATATGACCACGACTACGTGCACACTAAATAAACTCATGGCTCTTCTCACAGCTCCTTATCCAAGAATGTCCCTGAGACTTTTAAAACACCTGTTTCAGCTAAGTGTTGTCAGACCATCTTGGGCCCATTTTCCCATGGCACAGTACCTACCCACACCTACTCTCTCTGAGGAAACGTGGAAGAACAAACTGCTCTCCCTGGGAAGGGCAACACTATTTTTCAGACCCAACTCATGCTGCCTGCCAGGGTGAGAGACCTGGCTACTCTGTCTGCTTCTCTAATCAACTCTTTGCCTGAAGAGGATGGTCTGTCTCATCTCCTTGAACCCCATCCCTCTCCAAAACAAGACAACACAGACTCTGACTCAGAGAACCTTGACCTTAACATTTCTAGCAAATATATGTGTTTTGTGTTTCAATGATCAATTCCCAAATCCTGAATTCCAGGTCCGATCAAACTTAGAACTGTAAATACCTCTTTATACTTTTGGTTTTCTTTTTGAATAATTTCCTGTTGTCTTTGGGGAAAAGTTCAAATTGCTTGGTGCTCCTAGTTCTTGAAAACTTAGGTAACTTCCTCTTCCTCTAACTGTATCATCCACTATTTCTTTCAATCTGACCTCGTCGATAGTAACAGCCGCAGCCAGCAATTTGCTCTTTCCCAGACACAGCTAAGCTTTTAATGCATATATTTCTTTGTTTGTATGTTGCATGACTTAGTGGAGAGATGTCATCAAACAAGTGTTCACCTCAGATAAGGCACTGATAAGACCAGAAAATCAATTTCACCCAAATCCCTGGGAAGCTTGGTGAACTGATCAGTTTTTAGGGTTATTTATAGGAACGTGGAGACTCAAAGGTGGGCCGCTGAAAAGCCCACCCTAATATGGGTGACAACACACAAAAGCTTCCTCCCTGGAAAGTCCTTCCCAACTCACAGGGAGCTCTCTGCAGGAGCAGCTCCTCCTCCAGCAACAGTTTAATGCTCATTTAACCTTGGAGAGGAGGCTTGTGAAACTCATAACTTTCTTTTATATTTTATTTATTATATTTTTTATTTTATGAGTGTATCACCTGCATGTGTATAAGTGCACTCTTGTCATGTAGTGCCCTTGGAGGTCAGAAGACGGCATTGGATTCCCTGGAACTGGAATTATGGATGGTTGTTAGCCACCATGTGGATGCTGAGAATCAAACCCAAGTCCTCTGCCAGAGCAGTCAGTGCTCTTAACCACTGAGCCATCTCTCTAGCCCCCATAACTTTATTTTTGAACTTGTAACTTTCTGAGTTTCCTAGAGCCTTGTTTCATAAGCTTCCTGATCTCAATGAGCTTTCCTCCTACTCAAGGAGGGAGTATTTTATTTAGAAGAAACCTCAGGGCTGGAGAGAGATGGTCAGCATTTTAAGAGCTCTGGCTGCTCCTTCAGAGGACCTGGGTTCAATTTCTGGCACCCACATGGAGGCTAACCACTGTTTGTAACTCCAGTTCCAGGGAATTTGATGCCCTCATCTCACCTCTGCAGGCATTGCACAACATGGGTACATTTATACACCTTCAGGCAATACACTCATAAGCATAAAATAAAATTTTTTAATTGAAAGAAACCTCTACATCACACTATGTACTTTCCTCCTCCTGGAATATTAATTTCTGAATCTCCATCTCACTGTAGCCAGCCTAAAGGCTCATTAAGACACATTTCTAGGCTTGTCAAATTCCCATCAGGTAAGGGCTCTTGCATCAGCTCTGATGACCGAGTTTGATTCTCAGAACCCATGGGTTAGAAGGAGATTACTAACTCCTTCAGTTTGCCCTCTGACCTCCACATGAAGCCATCACACACACACACACACACACACACACACACACACACACACACACACACACACACACACACACACACACACTCACTCACTACATTGTCTAAAGACCTATTTCTACCTATTTCCTACTTCCTGAGACAAATTCAGTCATTCCTTCCTATGTGCTTACAATAACATATAATATGCAGAGTATTTCTTAAAGATTTCACTTATTATTTTTATTTTATGTCTATGAGTGCATGCCCTGCATGTATGTAAGTGCACCCGTGTTATGCAATACCTGTAGAGACCAGAAGGTGTGAAATCCTATGGTGCTGGACTTATAGACAGTTGGTAGCTGCCATGTGGGTGCTGGGAACTGAACCCAAGTCTTCTGTTAAGAACAACCAGTGCTTTTAACAACTGAGTCATCTCTCCAGCCCCAGACTATTATGTTTTTAAATTGATCTATATATCAAAATTATAAGGTGTAAAATTCACATTTATTATCATTACCTCTGTATTTCATAATTTGCATTTTTAGAAGATTAAATAAAAACATTTAAGAAGATACCTTAATCCAAATAATTTTGCTTCAAATAATTGCAAGAAAATGTTTGTGAGAACATCATTGTACATGGCTAGATTATGCTTTTTCTTTCTTTGGTTTTCAGAATCAACTTCCCTCTTGAAACCAAGTCACTGCCACGAGAATCCATGCTCACTATTAAGCTGTTTGGGATTGAGCATGCCACACACAGTGCCAGTCTGCTGGCCTGGACCTGCCTTCCACTGTTTCCAAAGGAGTAAGTATGCCATTGGTGTAAAGCTCTCATTTGAGTACAGCCTTCAGGACCTAAACATTCTTCAGTGATGGCATGATGAAAAGATCAAGAGGGCATTTTGCACCACAGTCAGGCAGCTCAATATGGACCATGACCACCGAAACCTGAGCTGAAAAGAAAAGCATAGAAACAGCTCTAAAACTGCCCTTAGCTGCGTCATTTACAAGGGAAGGTAGGGGCCTAACCAATCTCAATGACTTCTTCTCTAATATCTCTTAAATTAATAATTCAAGATGGCTTGGCTTAATATTGTTATTTAGAAAAATATAAGCTCTAACATTTTGAATAATGTAAAATTATAAAACATGACTACTCTACTAACCTCTTATTACTAAGAAGAAATATTTGGAAAGTTCTCAGGTATTGATATGTTACTTTTTTAAGAAAAGGTCTCTGAATTCAGCTATTGAGAATTAATGTCCTTTGCAAATAACTGTTTCTTTAACCTATAATTCTTGAGTATTATTAATGCATGGAATATTTAATAAAGTCGATTAGCAATAGCCTGTGTTGTTAAGGGAAAATGCTTCCAAAGTATCAATATTTATTTTTCATATGGCAAGAATTACTGTAGGATCAGATGATAAAATTTAGAACTTTGAAAAGTCAGAACCTTTATTGTTATGCTAATTCATTTCAAAGTATGTTTCTGCCAGTGCTGTCTTAGAAAAATGTGGTATTATAGAAGTATGTTAAAATTTCTTCAGTTTTCAGTTTCCAAACCTAGTCACTATAGATAACATCATCAAATATTTTTAAAATTTCATGCAATTATTCTCATCTGGACTCTATGTGTATTTGTATGCCTGTGTCTATGTACTTTGTATATGTGTTTCTGTGTGTATATGCACATGTGTATTTGTCTACATGTGTAGTGAATGTGTGTGTCTCTTGGTGTACATCTGTATACTTTGTGTGTATGTTTGTATGAGTGTATATGTATGTGTGTGCCTGTGTGCTTGGATGCCTTGTGTATGTTTGTATCTATGTGAGTGTGTGTATGTATGAGTCTATGTGTCCTGTGTATGTACATGTATGTCTCTGTGTGCCTGTGTGTCTTTTGTATATACCTGTGTATGTGTATGTGTGTATATATTTGTGTGTCTATGTGTCTGTACATGTAGTGTGTATATATGTGTATATGTGTACATGTACATCTATGTGTATGTGTGTATGCATGACTTATATATGTGTATATGTGTATGTGTGTCTCTGTGTGTCTCTGTCTTATGTGTGTATAGGTATGTATCTCTGTGTATATATACATGTGTGAGTCTATGTATGTGTGTCTCTGTGTGTATATGGATATATGTGTCTTGTGTGTATGCATGTTTGTATATTTATGTGTAGGTATGTCTGTCTCTTGTGTGCACACCTGTGTGTCTTGTGTATGTGTCTAGGTGTCTCTGTGTGTGACTGTGTATATATGTATGCTTCTCTGTATGTCTGTATGTCCTACGTGTCTCTGTGTGTCTGTCTGTTTATATGTGTCTCTGTGTGTATGCCTGTGTGTCCTGTGTCTGTGTATGTATATAATTGTCTCTATGTATCCATGTATGTTTGCCTGTGTATCTCATGTATGTTTATCTGCTTATGTATATACATGTGACCATGTGTATATGTGTGTATGTGTATGTCTCCGTGTGTGTCTTGTGTATGTGTATGTATATGTGTCTTTATGTATGCCTGTGTGTCTTGTGTATGTATATGTGTGTATATATTTCTGAATGTCTCTTGTGTGTACATGTGTGTGTTTTTCTATTATTTGTTTTGATGGTTTAGCCCATTTCCACATATATGTCTCTTGAGGATGGGGACTGTATTCCTCTCTATAATGTCTGTCATCTAACATGATGCCTCATATAAATTTGCAATCAGTAGAAGAGTATTTGTTAAGTTGAACTGGAAAACGTCCTCAGTCACTATAGATAGTTTAGAATGAAATAAGATTTCAAAAGGCTACAGGAAGCAGGTTAGCCCCAACAGGAGTATCTGCTGCTGTTAACAGACATTTTAGACGTCTGATTTGAGTGCTAGGAACTTTCATGACTTTCATCTTCCCTGAGAGCTGCCGCCCTGGTGTCCTTCCTACCTGTGAGTGAATTTCTTTCAAGTTTCAACTGCAGTATTTCTAAGATTTGGCACTTTTGTAAAATAATATTTCTAGCCATTCACTGAAAAGAAAGTTCAATCTATTTCATTCTCACACCAGCTTATCTTAGACGGTGATGTCAGTACACATGCTGTCTCTACGCTGTCTGTTATACATCATTTGCTGCTGGTGATCCGTCTGCAGGGGGTGGTCGTGCAGGGTGGGGGTCTGTAAGGGTTTTGTTAACTGGGACTGATCTGAAATGATCATATATGATCTGATATGAAATGATCATCTATGCATATTTCCACAAGCATCTCATGAAAATCAAAAAATCTATCCTGGGCTAAACTGTTGAAAGAAATCCAAATCTTTCTAAGGCAGGAGAAAACCATTGTGTGTAGCAGATGAGACACAGCTGTGCATTCCACTTTGCTTCTTGCTACAAGTTGCAGGGATTCTGATCCAATTTATTTGATGTAGATATTTCCAGACCACAGAAAACTGTCATTTTAATTTCATTTCCACTAACAGGATGACCCTTGCCCATAAACATTTGATACTGAATCTTCTTTTGTAGCTTGACTTGCTCCAGGCCAGTCATTAGCAGCTGTAATGAGCACTTACCTCAGTATTATTTCCAACTTACTTATGACCTGAAAATATGCTTCTCAGGGGCATTCTGTCTCTCCAGGGTCCCTGGAAGTGGGCTTCTGAGGAACCAATAGCGATTAAGCTCAGATATATCTATAATGTATTAGTGATATCTAAAAATAAAACGAAACCTCAGCATTTGCAAGCATGCAAACTCACCTTCAGTTCTGTAAAGAAAAGTATCTGAAGTCCAAAGGAAAGATTTGACGAATAAAAATCATATAATCTCTTCTTCAGGCAAGACATTCTCTGCATGTACATTTACAGTCTCTCCACTGCTACAAAAAAAAGTTACCTTCAACATAACAATTTCCATGAACTCAGTTTCCAATTTCAGTTCTTGATAATTAATGTAATAATTACTTAGCACTTTTAAATTGTCGTAAGATACTTCAACATAAAAAGTCTCCACCTTGACTGAATGACAGAATTTCCTGGAAATGTAAATCTAAATCCTGAATACCCTTGGCGATTCTAATTCCGTTGGTTTTGTCTGAGCAACAATATTTTTAAAGCTTCCAAAGTTTGTTAAAGCCTTGAAAAATAAGAACGGTTTAAAGAATTTCAAACAAGGCCTAAAATAAGACGTAATCCCACCATAACTTGCTTAGGCAACTGCGTGGGCTGCTGCTAATGACCACACAACAGTTAATCATTTCAACTGTGTCTTCAAAATCAAATGTTAAAAGATAAAAGTTGTACTTTTTAAATTCTTTATTCTGTTCTCTTCGGGTCTAAAAGAGACCCTGACTCCAAACACATTTGAAAATTAAGTACTCCATGGTACATGTTGGTTAAAATAAGTTATCAAGCGACTCAAAAACAGAGGAGCCAGAGAGAAGATCCAAGTTCTTTCTACAGCTTTCAGTACCTTCAGCGGCCTCCCTTCCTGCTTAGAGTTACCACGTCCTACTACATGAGCACCCTGTGAAAATGTACCACCCTACACAGGGCTCCTGCCATGCTGGGGGCTGTGCTCTCAGGCATGAAACCCACTAAACCTACTAGAATTAGGATCCCAAAGAATTTCTTAACATCAGATCCTCAGGCCCTGCTGGCTACCCAGTTTCATGATCCTTTACTTCATCCGGGTCCAGAATGCTGGGAAAGATGTGTAGACTCTTCTAGATAAACTAGATTAATTGTTGTGCTGTTATTTTATGAAGCAGGAACCAGATCACCTGTGTTTTGTAATGTTCTGAATTTGGAGTTCAATTTTGTAGTCAATACATTTATACAATATTTAAGTTGAAAAGACTTAAGAATGTGCCTGGATAAATATCCTGAAATGTTATTTCTAGGAGAGTCTAATTTCTAATGACTTTTTTTTTTTTTTTGGTCTTTTTTGAGATAGCTTCTCCCTGTATCCCCAGCTGTCCTGGAACTCACTATGTAGACTAGGCTGGCCTTGAACTCACAAAGATCCACCTGCCTTTGCCTCCCAAGTGCTGGGATTAAAGGCATGTGTGACATATTTTTAATGATTTTTTTAAATTATTTTTTAAATTGTGTGTATACGTGTGGGTTTGTGTGTGGTTATGTGCACATGAGTGCAGGTACCCTTGCAGGTCAGAAGCACCAGATCCCCTTAGGCAGTTATGAACTTCATGACGTGGGTGCTGGGAACAGAACTCGGATTCTCTGTAAGAGTAGTTCACATTCTTTTTTTATGTTCTATTTATTATTTTTATTTTATATGTATGAGTATATTTTTTGCATGTAGGTATGTGCACCTGTGTCATACAGTGCCCACAGAGTTCAGAGGAGGGCGTTGAATCCCCTGGAAGTGTTGTTATGGACAGTTGTTAACTGCCATGTGAGTGCTGGGAATAAAACCCAGGTCCTCTGCAAGAGCAGTCAGTGCTCTTAGCTGCTGAGCATCTCTCCAGCCCCAAGAAGCCACTTTTTGTTGTTGTTTTTGTTGTCTTTTTGAAGCAGGGTCTCCCTGTAGCCCCAGCTGTCCTGGAACTCATTGTGTAGACCAGGCTGGCCTTGAACTCACAGAGATCCACCTGCCTCTGACTCCCAAGTACTGGGACTACAGGCGAGTGCCACCATGCCTGGCAAGAAGCCACTTTTAAAGGTGGTAACTACCAGCTTTGGCTGAAGCTGGCTGCCAGCGTGGTTTGCGTTGGGAGCCTCCCACTTTGACCAGAGCTACTGGATACTCCTGAATGAGTTGAAGCCTTTCGGGCACTACATAGTCACACTTCGG